GAAGAATTGGGGTCTTAATGTTACCGAATTGGAGCGTGCATACCAAGAGAGTCTCAAAAAGTACGACACAAAAGTGCTGTGTGTTATAAATCCAGGCAATCCGACTGGCCAGGTGGCGTAATCGTAATTCTCATCATATCGACAAGTCGCAGTTTTACAGGTACTCTCTAGGCAAAACATGGAAGAAGTCGTAAAGTTTGCTCATAAGCACAATCTCTTCTTGATGGCCGACGAGGTTTACCAGGTGAAAAAATAAACGAACTCTGCAGTGAGACTTCATCATATTACGATTTTCTTCTTGGTTCAGGATAACATCTATGCTGAAGGCTCTAAATTCCACTCTTTCAAGAAGGTTATCAACGAAATGGGAGCACCTTACAACATGTGAGTGAATTTGCTTTCGTTGATCCTGCGATTTGATCATTCCTAATGCTTTTACATCATTTCCATTTTCTAAGTGGTTACGAATGTACAGGCATTGCAAGACCTAGTTACCCGTGCGTTGCCTTGAACACCAGCATAGGGGAGCGGTTGACGCGAGGCACCATAAGGTCAGCATTCATGTTGTTTTCAGCATTGCATGTCATGTTTTAGCCAAAAGTGACTCTAAATCTTTTTGAAAATACGTTTGAAAGTGGGCGCTTATTCTTGTTCGTGAACGGTCTAGATTGCTTCGGGACCCCACGTCTCATCCGCTCCGCACATTGGTGTTCAAGATTAGGCACGGGCAACTGGATTCAAAACGCCCCATATCAATAGTATCTGGTAGAGAATTTTTATGATTTGTTTGTAAAACACAGGATGGAGCTTGCATCATTCCATTCTGTTTCGAAGGGATATATGGGAGAGTGCGGTATGCGAGGAGGGTATGTCGAGTTCTTCAACCTCGATCCAGACGTTTACGTGCTTTACAAGAAAATGATATCCGCCAAATTGTGTTCGACTGTTTTGGGTCAGGTTAGTTATGATTTCGTGTTGGTTTGCTGACAGTAGTCTAATTTACTGACTTGTCCGTCTTAGATCGTGATGGATTGCGTAGTATGTCCGCCAAAGCCCGGTGATCCATCATACGATCAGTGGTTGAAGGTTTGTCGGCTTTGATTACCTACTGTCTAATTTCTGTAATTTCTGCATAGCTTTCTTAAGATCGGCTTGGTTATTGCAGTGTACTTTATTAAGACCGTCCCTCCACAAAGGAAACATTTAGGAGAAAACAGCAGTCCTTGATTCCCTCAAGGAGAGGGCCAGACTTGTCAAAGAAGCGTACGGAAGTATCGAAGGTGTATCGTGCAATGAAGTTCAAGGAGCCATGTATGCCTTCCCGCGGCTTTTGCTACCACCCAAAGCGATCGAGAAAGCTAGAGTGAGTCCTCTTCTATACTTTGGATGATCATTTATCATTATAATTATTAAATTAATTTCCCTAGCTGCTTTTCGTATAATGAGCGCGTTCTTTTTCGACTTTTACCAAGTACCACTTTGTCATTTCAACGTGAGAACCTCTTCTACTGACCGCAGAAATGTGAGAAAAAGTAGTAGTACTATTTTGCTCAGCAACATGTGGTCAGCGGTATGCTGATGTAGGGATGCCCCGATGGTTAGAACAGCTGTAGGCTATGACTGCTGTGCAGATACCAGATTTATCTGTTGCACTCTCATCGCGATTATCCATGAGATAGGTGTACAGCATCGTTTATGGCCTAGAATAGGGAATGCTTTTCGATGCTTCCGTTTTTACTCTCCTTGGTTTACCGATGCAGGAAATGGCGGTACACTAGCAGCAGCCAATAACAGCGTGGTAGACCGTGTCCCGTCACAATTTCCTGCTTCACTAAGGACCGGGGGCATATATGTTTAGACTTTTCAGCATCTTCTCGCTTTAGAAGCATTATTTTGCATCCAACCGGGCTGTGGTTTGCAGGAGCAGCCCGCTTTAGTAAACTGTTGAGACTGAGGTGCTGAGTCGAAGACAGAGAGGTTCCAGATTTGCCCGGATACTTTAAGATGTGCTGAGTCGAAGACTATTTTTCACAGCTGTAAAAATTTCTAAAATTGCTTTTTCGCTTTTCTGAGTGAGCAATGCATAGGCGTGGTGCAGTGGCGGTCCCAGGATTTCCGTCCGGGGGGGGGGGGCTGCAAAAATTTTTCTCAAATGAATGTGCGTGGCGTCAGACACGCACTCCCAAAAAAGGGGTCCTTATCAAAATGCGGGTCCGCAACACGCCCGTCAACTCACACCGTTCGCGTTGAACTTTTAAGATTTATAGGAAACGTTGCGATCGCTATACTGTTTCAAAAAAAGGCGTCTGGTGAACAACCTAACCTTAATATCAAAAGAAGGCTAAATAAGTTTGACAAGCATTAGTGTGATAAAAGTAATCTTCAAAGGAAATTTTCGAGATGCATGATTATGCCAAGGTGTACAGTTGCACCCAAATTCCTTTTCAGTCTTTGAACCAAGAGCCGGACTTCTTCTATGCCATGCAATTACTGGAATCCACAGGTGTGTGTATCGTTCCAGGAAGTGGCTTTGGACAGAAAGAGGGCACTTATCACTTCAGGTTAGTCGATGTCCTCATGCATCATAGATCATTTATCTCACTTGTATATTCAGGACAACGATACTTCCCCAGAAAGACGTGATGAAAGATATGCTGGCGCGGTTTACGTCATTCCACAAGAAATTCTTAGAAGAATACAAATAGATTGGTGCTGGCCACCTTAGGGTCTTGTTCACCATTGACACAATCTCATTTTTGAAGTAAATTCATTAATAATGGTTAGGCAGACAGCATATCTGTAATTTTGAACATTCATTTTGTAACAGCCATCATGTTTGATACCCAGGAAATAGCTTTTATGTTTACCCGCGTAAGTGGCAACAAACACGCTTACTCTTCAAAGGATTTTGATCTTGCCTGCTCTGAGCTTACTTATAATAGTAGATGTATAGACTGCCAATTTTGGGCTATCGTTGTCATCGTTATTGTCTTCCTAGTCCACTGTGTGCGTAGACGGCGGAGAAGTCCCCTTGTGTTATGAGATATATAATCTTTTCTCATCAATTCGTTATTGGAAAGTCTGCCCATACAGTAGGACAGTTCGTCAAGAAAGTCACTGAACTTAACCGGAGTTCGCTGCAATCCGCGTCTCTTTGCTGTATCTTGATCCAGAGTGGATAAATTCTGAATCCAGCATACTTTAATTCAGCTCGGTGAGCGCATCTTAGCATAGAAGTGCCCGCTTGGATACGGTCCCTACACGGTAGGCAGTCAACTTTCACGAATCTTTTTTGAATTTTTACTTGCGGTGGGTTAACTAGTGTGCTTGTTTACTGCACACTATGTAACCTACCATAGGCAAAAATTCATGAAACTTCACCGTCTACCGTGCACCTACCATAAACCGAGTTCTGTCTCCAGAAAATCTTTGAACGAAGTTTTTCGTATTCATTTCTAACCGAAAGCTTAGAAGATTATCCGCTTTTGATCTTTTATTTTAAAAAAATTGGGGTATACTGCAAAATAAAAAACGTGTGGTTTAGTAAAAAAAAAGATTCATATGTCATGATATCCCACAGTGCGTTTTGTATTTTCGCAGAGTATAACAATCGATTAGTTTCAAGTTATAATTTATAGCATGGTTGTAATGCAGCCTGACTTTGAATTGATGACTTTGCATTCTGAAAGCTTCTTTTAAGTGAATTGGAGGTTCTTCCATCCTTCTGATTTGCATTTTTTTTCTCAAAATGATTTAGAAGGTTGAGTATAATGTGACTTATTATCTATCATTTTTTGCTCTGAAAATCTTGATTCAGACTTCGCGGACGTGGAAGGCATGCAAGCGTATCCTAGATTGAATTGCCTGAATTTTGTTTCGAGTTTAGATCGATCTATAGTTTGGTTTTGAGTGAAGCAATGTTAGAAATTGCTTGTCCTTATATGTAGATCCATAAATTTACTGATCATGAAAACTTGTTTCGAAGCGAAACCTAGATAGATGTGAGAAGACAAATTAGAGAGAGAGATTGACACGTGATGCTCTCATCGGTCATTATTATGACAGTAACATGTCATTGACATCTTCGGGAAAGTTCTTTGATGTGGATCTTTTGAACTTCCTTAAATAAACAAGATCGCAATACCTTTTCAATCTCAGCCTCAAAATTGATCTTCGACCTTGAAGCGCGATGGAGGGATATCCTCGGGTGTTTTTTAGGGGAGTGTTTTGGTATGAAAGATTGATCTGAGTACACAAATCGGAAAGCAATTGTTACTGCAACATGGATCTCGTTGTAACAAGAGCGGTGATCTCAGTCTGAATGGTATGAAATAGAAAGGAATAAGCGCTAACATGTGTCAAATCTCACCTATATATGAAAGATAGATTTGAAGAAAACTATCTTTCATATAAGTACGATAGGAAGGAAGGAAATCTAGTATTTTAGAAATTTATTTCGCAGTTCAAAATGACGTAGGAAGTTCAAAATTGGTTTGGAACAAAAATGTAGAGGGAAGTGAAGTTTCTTCCCGCATTTGGCCTGATTACGGAACTTAAATTTGAAAATTAAATCAAATTAAAACTCAAAAAATTTGATTACTTTCCAGCTAAGATCATTAGAATGACTACATTGTAATATTGGCAGTAATTCATGAAAATTTTGATATTTGATAAATCGTTGTAAACTCCACCTTTTTGTCTTATGTCATAAAAGAGCAGTTTATCGGTTCTATGGATGTACGCGCTACAATCTCAAGCACCCAGAAAAAAAGTGACAGTAACCTCGTTTCTTCACAATCAAAAGCTGTCACGTGTGCCAATGTTGACATTTATATTGGCAGTGCATTGTTCATCGGCACGTCATCGAAAGTTCTTTCTATTTTGCGTGCATTTGCACAGGCATACATAATTTTCCGCAAAAAAAGCGATGTCATTGCTGCTTGTAAGCCAGAAATCAAGTACACAATCGTTATGAGAAAAACTTATCACTTTTGTGTTGACATATCTCGCATCGGGAAGAAACTCCTCTCGCTCGTAACAAATACTTCGCTCCAAGGACAACACAAAAAGAGCACGTAGCACTCGACGTGTTCCGCGTGCATTCTGGTAAATAACCGATAGCCATTTCTGAGTTGTCCCGTTCTTGTGTTCCTCTCTCCAAAAATGGTCGCCAGGTAAGGAAATGCTAAAATAACTTTCCGAATTTCTTGCCCATAGGTCAGCTGCCCTTATCAGCTGTGCAGACTAAATATCTCATTACCTGTTTTTTATTATTTCGAGCATTTTTTGCAAATCTATCCGCTAATTGATATTCCGCGACGATTCCCCTGGGAAATTTCTCAGAGCACAATCATTGCATTTACGGCTAGCTTTAATCAGCTGGAAGCATTTCCAAAGACTGCGGGCATCGTTTTCTCTTGAAACCGGGAAAAATCGATTTTGCACTTAGAGCCTTTGCTCCGTTATAAACTTAGAATCTCTAAGCATGTTTTGGACGATACACTTTCGTTTTCGATGTTGCTGCGGAATCTGTATTCTGATTCACATTCTTTGAACAACATCTTACCGTTTCTTGAAAAAAAAAAAAACATTCTTTCATCTGTGTGAATTTTCTTGCGCAGTCTTTGCAGGGCATTCAAAACGCAGGTTTTTTCAAAAACAATTTTTCTCTGAATTTTGGGCCCCTACCGTTATGTTTTTTCATTTTGAGCTTACATAATATTATTTTCAATTCCTACAGTTCCAGTTTACCCCAGCTATCTGACTGCAAATATTGCGAAGCTCTGATCCCGCCACATTCAGAGAAAATTGCTCATTAACGTCTAATAAAATTGAATATCTTTCTTTCAATAGTCTGACTTCATGTAGACTTCCGCATTTGCAGAATCAATTTAATTTACTTTGTTGTCAGAGACCTATATTCACACAATATGAAAGCGCTTGCTGTGATTTCTGCGAGACCTATTCTTTCATGTCTAATATAATTGAATATATTTTTTCTTATAGTGAATAACTCTCTAGGCAGCGCCATCCAAGCGCGCGGAACTGGTTATGCACAATGACTAAATGCATAGACTCTTTTCTTTGTGAGCATAGATGAATGTACATCAATCTACGCTATCGGAATGTGCACAAGAAATGTTGTTAACTAAGAAGAAAGTGTTGGTAATATTGATGTAGTTCCAAGGTGATCCTTTTGGAGAGAGAAAAAAAACTTTATTGCATTTGGAAACTTTAGCTTCTGCTATGAGAATAAATTGTGCATTTTTTCGCAATCAAGGACTGTTCACAAAGAATAAGTACAGGCATTTACTTGAATTTATTTTATGAACATAAGATCAAATGATGCCATAAATTGACAACACTCCTTTTTTTCCTTCCATTTCTTGATCAGGAAGACTCACTTGAATGTGCCGCAAAACGCTTGCATTCGCTGAGATCTCATAAAAAGTGTATAATCATGGAACAATTGCACTATCACATTGTCTTGGCACATTTCAGCAAATTAGCTTCCAGGGGAAAGTTTTTGAGTAAGATTTACGAGCTTCGACACCTGCTATTGTTATCTGTTGTCCTGATGCCAAATGATCTTTGTCGAGGCTGAGTGCAATCATCTCTCTCGAACTTCTTGAGCTGGAATTGAGCGAGCAGCTGTCTTCACAATTTAACTAAGCTACTTTTGTTAGAGCCGGGCGTATGGTGACATTCGCTAGCAAAAAAGATCTTTTGAATTGCACGTGCTTGCTAGAATTGCTATGATGATTAGCGCCCTTTTGAGGACGACGCGACAGCTATGCGTCCTTGCCTCAACACTGCACTGTAGTTGGAGTTTTCTTTCAGAAAATAAAATTTTTTTTGAAAGTTGGTGGTGATTACTTCGCTCTGACTATATAATGTTCTCTAGGTAGTATTTCGGTGAATTTCTGATTTTTGGCTTTTTATCAATTGCACTATCTGTGTAAACTGAGCCCAATATCGAGTCTGCAACTTCCAAAAATTTTGAGAAGTTGTCTCTTGTTGAGTTTTGGACTTGAAGTGCTCTGAGTGGGCGGGGCGTAAGCGACCAATCAACAATTCACCGCTGAATGGCTGCATAAAAATTTCAAAAGGATGCTATTATCTAAGCGCCTAATGGATGATTTGCCGCTCGCGCCACACCCACTTATTATTCAGAATACATTTTCTAGCGAAGCTAGAACTTGAGAAGCATGGTTTTGAGTCAGTAAATCATCAGATAAAGAATTATAACTGCTGGTATATGGCTTCTGATTTCCCAATGCCGATGGGCAGTTGATTCCTTGAAAAAAATTAGCAGTTTTTTCTTTAAAATTTGCTTGAATTCGTACTTTTCAGTATGAGGATAGCGCCAAACCTATTAAGGACTTGCAAACAGTTAACTGTCTTGCCGAGAATGGTCTCGACCAAGGTAGATTGTTCACGTAGGTATAAGAGGACCACAATAATGTAATTTTTTAGATCCTTACCGTGGATAATATAAATCCACAGGTGATCACTATGCAGTATGCAGTTCGTGGTCCAATAGTGATCCGAGCCGTCGAATTAGAAAAAGAGCTTGCCAAGGTTTTTTCTTTAACTAAACACACTTTTTTCGATTTTAATTATCAGCTAATTATTTTAGGGAGCTAGCAAACCTTTCAAGAGTGTGATCAGAGCAAACATTGGCGATGCTCATGCTATGGGACAAAAACCAATCACTTTTATTAGACAGGTTAGATGCTACTACAAGCATTTTTTGTGACCAGAAAGGCGATTATGTAATCTTATCTCGAATTGGTTATGTTTTTTAGGTGCTTGCTTGCGTGACAAACCCATCGCTGCTGGAAACGGGGAAATATCCAGCTGATGTCGTAGAACACGCCAAGGTATAATAGCTCATTATCTTACGGTAAATGGCTGAGATAATGCAGAAGCAGTGAAGTCATTAGTGGCGTGACTGCTTGCAATTAATTAATTGACTTGCAAGGCTTGCAACTGAATTTGAATAGTGCACATATTTGTGATTGGCACCAATGTCAACTGCAAAATTTATTTAGTGAAAGGGCTTCAGAGTCGCCATTTTAGAAAATTTTATGTGCTGTTTGGTTTTCTTTCTCAAATTTTGGTCAACATATCTGCGAAGTAACAAAGCGAGAAACGAGTCAACGAATGGCTTCGCAAAAACTCATGGTTTCTAGAATTCTGAGGAAGTGCGAAAAGTCAGCAAACCGCATTTTTCTTCTATTTACTCCCAGCGATCCAGCATTCACTGTTGAGGCATTCTTATCACGCGCAAATGTTATCGTCACCGCAAGCGCACTAAATTGCACGTTGAAATAGCAGTCTGTGCTCATAACAAGTGACTTGTGCGAATTTATTTTTCAGTTTGTAAAACAACTACCAAAAAAATTAGACCCTCTCCTCTCCCTGCTTCCGCTTTTTTTCCTCCTTCTTTTTTTTGAAATCTGAAGAAGTTGCAGCTGAAACAAAGCAAAATTCATAGCGAGTTATATCAGTGAAATTCGAGTTTTGAGGAAAAAAGCTTTCTGTTATTTAGTTTTTGAATTCCGATTTTAGTTTCATTCAGGCCCCAAAAAGTGTGTTTGTCCTTGTCGTAGATGAGTGCATTTTTCACATGATGTAAACCTGTAAAATTTATTTACTTAGTTCGGGGCTTTTTGAGTGTTGTAAACTCTCACTTCTTATCGCTCGCCATCTTCAATGTCTAGTTTACCCTAAAGTTTTTTCTTATGGTGCTCCAAAGTGCCGTAACTCTATCTGTTCACAAGACTCATATGTCTTCGAATATTTGGTCACAAGACTCTTATATCTTCACCTCGTGAAAAACAACAAATGATGAGTTTTGGACCTGCATCTTGAAAGTATATATAAAGGACATTTTTTGGAGATTAAAAGCTACTTTGTAGTACTACCCGTTCTCTTTTTTTGCGCGTGCCATGAAAACAAAATCTAAGAAGCCAGTATATGATGTTGAATTGTTTGAAGCCTCTATTGGCTAGTCAGTAATCGTCTCAGTTGTCAATCTTTATTTTATTAAAACAAAAGCTCAGAGCTAGTGCATGTTGACGGATCTGTGAATGAATTTACTTTCAAAAAAAAAGTAAAAAATCGCTGAGAGATAGAGGATTCTCCTCCATCCGGAAAGTTCCGGCACTTCTGCTTTTTCTGATGACTGCTAGTGCAGAAATGGGGGGGGGGGGGGGGGAGAGAAGTGGATCGCTGTAAAGATTTCGGCGACTATGGAGAGCGTGCACAAGTTACGCTTTCCAAATATCGACCTGATTGGTATCTTTATAGTTTAGATATTGAGAACCACCACCAAATCTTCCGCTTATCTCCCTTCCCCCTTTATCTCTCCTCCTCCCTCCCCTTCTGTGAGTTCGCCACGCCTCCTGTTTGTGTTCAAACAAAAAAGTTGAAGTGATAAAACTTGGAATGGGAAATGCATCGATCTCAAATTTTGTAAGCTGGTCCTGTCTACTTCATAGAAGAGGCGTGGCTATGGGTGGAACCACATTATTTGACTTTAAACAATGCTCAGACAGGACTTGTTCAATCACTCACCAGCCGCCACCGAAGTCACTCGCGTATGATACAGATAATCACTTGCGTCAATGTCGCAGATTCTACATTTCTTTCAACTAGCTCGCATGTTTGATTAGCTTCCTTGGGAAACAAGCTCATGTCGTTGGCGCCATTTGGTTTTCTGTTTTTTTTTTGCTATCATTTGATATGACTGTTATTTGTCAAAGACAACAAGGGATTAGCTTGCTTATCTGTGACTAGCACGTGCAAAAATACCCATAAAACTAATTTTCTCTTTGCCTCGAATGTGCCAGCCTTCCCCATCTCAAGGAACGGCAAGCTTATAATACTGGAGCAAGTTCTGGAAACATCGTTTTGTGCATCGCATGATCATTATTGATTTTCCATCAGTTTTTGCTACGAAACAGCTTTGTTTGTTGAAAATGTGGGTGATTGAAGATGGCATTGTATTATGGTTTGATTTGAATTTTCAAGAGACAACGAGTTCACTCGCAAAATTTACGCTAAAGCGTCAACTGTTGCGAACGCAAAAGAGAGCATGCTGGTACTTTCTGACGTTTTTCGACTCCTTTGGTCTCTTTGGCGCTGCAAAGTATGACGAGTCGGCTTCGAGTAGTCTTAGATTCAGTAAATAAGCGAATTTCTCGTCTTTTTCATCCTAACGGTGCTAGGTGTTTTTTTATTTTTTTTTTTGTATTTACATATTTTTAAGGCTACGTACTTGAAGAAAAAACGCAAGGACCCTGATCTTGAAAACGTGCGCTCTATACTTTTTCGTACGACAATTTGACGTGCTAGTTGTTTTCGCGCAAGTGTTGTTGGTACCCTGCGGCAGTAGACGCCAAATCTACTGCTATAGGACATTTGAAAAATCGTGACGATGTCGCGACCGCGCTCGACACGCACGCACCTCCGGCAACCACAATTTCTTGCTTTCATTCTCTATTCAACTGGTTTTTTTGCTTAGGTATGATAGTACTTGGACACTGGAAGTGACTGAGCTGAGCGTTGAGGAGATGCCTATTTGTTTGAGGGTGTTATGCTCCTGTGGGCGCAAAGACCGCAGTCAAATCCGTCGTAACGATTTTATAAATGAATCATACTATATCGGTACTGTAATTAGACTAGGGATTTGACATACTCGAGCAATTATACAGGTTTCCACTACTTCATCCTCCTGCTGCCCTTGTAGTTTGAACACCACATTCGCACCCGAATACGCTACGCTGCAAGCATATCGCAATTATTCCTGCTTTTGAAATGTAGCGATCACCTTACAAACCCCTCCGTATGTCCAAAAAAGCGTGAACCTTAGTCGAGAAAATGTTAGCTGTTTGAAATCCCTTTTTGGTAGATGTAGTCGCCTTATTCTGACAATCGATCTTATCTGATTCCATTACTTTGCAACCTGGATTAGAACAGGCCGGTGGCGGCAGAATCACTTTTATGATTCACGAAACAAAATAAAATTCTGAGAACTATACTGTACTCGAAGACGAAGTGAAAAAATAGGCGTGCATTTTGAACTTGCGGCAGTGCAGATCCAAGTAGTGCAACTGCACAAATTGATTGCTGAAATAAGAGTACCCTCGATATCATCCCATATGTCTTCCCTCAACATGACGTGGATTACGTGGCTTGATGAGGCGTCGCCTCGCCTCGGGCTCGCGCCACGTTGCGAGCGCATCGTTTGGCGCGACGTGGCGCTCAACACAACGTGGCGCAGGCTTTTCCACGTTCTTCTTGTTGCCACATCACGTCGAAAATGCGCACGCAACGTGGCGCAAGCCCGAGGCGAGGCGGCGCCTCATCAAGCCACGTAATCCACGTCATGTTGAGGGAAGACATATGGGATGATATCGAGGGTACGTATGATCGGTTCCCAGATTCGTGTGGAGGTGTATTGCAGACTTTGCCTGATAACACAGGTAAACTTGTTAAACCTCCACGTCAAAGCATTGCTTTTCGAACTCTACCGCTATAAAAAACCGCCACGCGGTGGGTTGGCAAGACTCTACCTCCACACGAATCTGGAAGCCGATGATAAATACTTGTGCGCACTCGTTTTGAACGGTTCAAAGGCACTCTAAGTTTTGTGACGTACGGTGCTGAGTTAGAAACATTTGTTTTTGTTTCTTTGGATTTTCCTTTTGTACTCGAAAAACGAGGAAGTTGGAAATAGTTCGGTATACACTATGGAGTAGATTGTCTAGCGTTCAAAGTTCAGTCTCAGATATCTAGCTATTTAGGACATTTCGTTAATTTCTTTTCTTCTCCCAGCAACCGTCATCTTCAGCGGTGTCAATCAAGCATCACAAGGTCTACCATCGCGTTATCCTTTGATACCGCACTTTTTAGGCACTTCTGGATGGTTGTGGAGGTCATAGCACAGGCTCTTACAGTCAAAGTCCTGGAATCGATCTGATCAGGAAGCATATTTCTGAATATATCACTGTGAGTTAATTTGTGACCAGTTAGTTTGATTACTGAGGTCTATAACATTCTCTGCCAGTACCCAATGTTTTTTGGCAACTCCCCCATGGATTTCTGGCTTTGTGTTGCATATAAGTCTCAGATATTCTGATTGTGCTGGGTCAAGAACGTAACATGAGTGTAAATCTGTTTTTAAGCAGATTTGGGAGCAACTCAATCTTAACAGGAAGTGGGCTCCCCATCCAGAAGTCCGTTTGCGACTGCTGTTTCTTCTGAAGCGAGAAAACAGCTTCAAATTTTTAAGACGCCCCTCAATTCAGCCTGATCCTTACCGAAACAGGAAATCGTGCACATTCACTGCAGCCAATGACAGTCTCACATGCCGTGTCCTAGTACGATTCCCTTTGGTAGAGACGAGACTGAATCGAGGGGCGTCTTTGTTAAGAGTTCTGAAGCTGTTTACGCGCTCCGGAAGCAATGTTTTGCGGTCGCGAACGGGCTGTGGTCTGCATGGAGACCCCTCAGGTAATCTGTTGAGACTGAGATGCTTTCATATCTGCCTGGACCCTGCCTTTAAAATCACCGTCTACCCAAACTGAGGATGGTGAAGATCTTGGCGTTATATGAGAGGGGCCCTAACCAAGCAGTCGCATAAGTCGCGCTGCGAAAAATGAATTATAAAGCGAAAATAACCGCTCCAAATAATAGAGACTACCACGCTGCCGCTGAAAAATCCACGTTGTCTGAAGATAACAAATCCAAAGTTGGGCTTCATGTATTCAGAATTGTCATTGTCATGAAACCACCTCTTATTAAAGTCATCAAATTTACTGAAATCACCTCTTATAATAATCGTCAAATTTACTATCTTTCTACATACCCTGAAGTGCAATGTCGGACTTGTATTTTCAGACCGCACACGTTGATGGGCGGAGCGAGCGTGCCCGTTGCTACTTTCTAAGGCTGTTTTCTCGCTTCGGAATTCATTTTTTGGGGGTGAGACTTGGGCAACTTGTTCGTTAGGGGCTTCACCATCATGTGACATCAAAACAACATTTTAATTTGGGGACAGTGCCTTTAACTGCGCACTCCGATTCAGCGTTTATGCTGCTTAACAAAGCAAAAAGCTGACAAGCTTGTACAAATTTGGCGCAATCTGTATAACATTCAAAGCTCAAGATCAGAGGGGATCAGAAACTATTGATGCGTTAGTTTGCAGAGGCGCGACGGAGGAATTCCATCAGATCCCGAGAATGTAGTCCTTTCTGGCGGTGCTTCTGAATCTATAAGGAATGTCTTGAAATTATTCGTTGATCATAGGAAGAGCAAGAAAGTCGGAATTATGATTCCCATTCCACAGTACCCACTTTACTCAGCTAGCGTTGAAGAATTTGCTCTTGGACAGGTACGGGCGTTATTTTTGTATCTTGTCGTTGCTGTATGATGCTCTTGTATGCTTAGGTTGGATACTACCTTGAAGAAGAGAAGAATTGGGGTCTTAATGTTACCGAATTGGAGCGTGCATACCAAGAGAGTCTCAAAAAGTACGACACAAAAGTGCTGTGTGTTATAAATCCAGGCAATCCGACTGGCCAGGTGGCGTAATCGTAATTCTCATCATATCGACAAGTCGCAGTTTTACAGGTACTCTCTAGGCAAAACATGGAAGAAGTCGTAAAGTTTGCTCATAAGCACAATCTCTTCTTGATGGCCGACGAGGTTTACCAGGTGAAAAAATAAACGAACTCTGCAGTGAGACTTCATCATATTACGATTTTCTTCTTGGTTCAGGATAACATCTATGCTGAAGGCTCTAAATTCCACTCTTTCAAGAAGGTTATCAACGAAATGGGAGCACCTTACAACATGTGAGTGAATTTGCTTTCGTTGATCCTGCGATTTGATCATTCCTAATGCTTTTACATCATTTCCATTTTCTAAGTGGTTACGAATGTACAGGCATTGCAAGACCTAGTTACCCGTGCGTTGCCTTGAACACCAGCATAGGGGAGCGGTTGACGCGAGGCACCATAAGGTCAGCATTCATGTTGTTTTCAGCATTGCATGTCATGTTTTAGCCAAAAGTGACTCTAAATCTTTTTGAAAATACGTTTGAAAGTGGGCGCTTATTCTTGTTCGTGAACGGTCTAGATTGCTTCGGGACCCCACGTCTCATCCGCTCCGCACATTGGTGTTCAAGATTAGGCACGGGCAACTGGATTCAAAACGCCCCATATCAATAGTATCTGGTAGAGAATTTTTATGATTTGTTTGTAAAACACAGGATGGAGCTTGCATCATTCCATTCTGTTTCGAAGGGATATATGGGAGAGTGCGGTATGCGAGGAGGGTATGTCGAGTTCTTCAACCTCGATCCAGACGTTTACGTGCTTTACAAGAAAATGATATCCGCCAAATTGTGTTCGACTGTTTTGGGTCAGGTTAGTTATGATTTCGTGTTGGTTTGCTGACAGTAGTCTAATTTACTGACTTGTCCGTCTTAGATCGTGATGGATTGCGTAGTATGTCCGCCAAAGCCCGGTGATCCATCATACGATCAGTGGTTGAAGGTTTGTCGGCTTTGATTACCTACTGTCTAATTTCTGTAATTTCTGCATAGCTTTCTTAAGATCGGCTTGGTTATTGCAGTGTACTTTATTAAGACCGTCCCTCCACAAAGGAAACATTTAGGAGAAAACAGCAGTCCTTGATTCCCTCAAGGAGAGGGCCAGACTTGTCAAAGAAGCGTACGGAAGTATCGAAGGTGTATCGTGCAATGAAGTTCAAGGAGCCATGTATGCCTTCCCGCGGCTTTTGCTACCACCCAAAGCGATCGAGAAAGCTAGAGTGAGTCCTCTTCTATACTTTGGATGATCATTTATCATTATAATTATTAAATTAATTTCCCTAGCTGCTTTTCGTATAATGAGCGCGTTCTTTTTCGACTTTTACCAAGTACCACTTTGTCATTTCAACGTGAGAACCTCTTCTACTGACCGCAGAAATGTGAGAAAAAGTAGTAGTACTATTTTGCTCAGCAACATGTGGTCAGCGGTATGCTGATGTAGGGATGCCCCGATGGTTAGAACAGCTGTAGGCTATGACTGCTGTGCAGATACCAGATTTATCTGTTGCACTCTCATCGCGATTATCCATGAGATAGGTGTACAGCATCGTTTATGGCCTAGAATAGGGAATGCTTTTCGATGCTTCCGTTTTTACTCTCCTTGGTTTACCGATGCAGGAAATGGCGGTACACTAGCAGCAGCCAATAACAGCGTGGTAGACCGTGTCCCGTCACAATTTCCTGCTTCACTAAGGACCGGGGGCATATATGTTTAGACTTTTCAGCATCTTCTCGCTTTAGAAGCATTATTTTGCATCCAACCGGGCTGTGGTTTGCAGGAGCAGCCCGCTTTAGTAAACTGTTGAGACTGAGGTGCTGAGTCGAAGACAGAGAGGTTCCAGATTTGCCCGGATACTTTAAGATGTGCTGAGTCGAAGACTATTTTTCACAGCTGTAAAAATTTCTAAAATTGCTTTTTCGCTTTTCTGAGTGAGCAATGCATAGGCGTGGTGCAGTGGCGGTCCCAGGATTTCCGTCCGGGGGGGGGGGCTGCAAAAATTTTTCTCAAATGAATGTGCGTGGCGTCAGACACGCACTCCCAAAAAAGGGGTCCTTATCAAAATGCGGGTCCGCAACACGCCCGTCAACTCACACCGTTCGCGTTGAACTTTTAAGATTTATAGGAAACGTTGCGATCGCTATACTGTTTCAAAAAAAGGCGTCTGGTGAACAACCTAACCTTAATATCAAAAGAAGGCTAAATAAGTTTGACAAGCATTAGTGTGATAAAAGTAATCTTCAAAGGAAATTTTCGAGATGCATGATTATGCCAAGGTGTACAGTTGCACCCAAATTCCTTTTCAGTCTTTGAACCAAGAGCCGGACTTCTTCTATGCCATGCAATTACTGGAATCCACAGGTGTGTGTATCGTTCCAGGAAGTGGCTTTGGACAGAAAGAGGGCACTTATCACTTCAGGTTAGTCGATGTCCTCATGCATCATAGATCATTTATCTCACTTGTATATTCAGGACAACGATACTTCCCCAGAAAGACGTGATGAAAGATATGCTGGCGCGGTTTACGTCATTCCACAAGAAATTCTTAGAAGAATACAAATAGATTGGTGCTGGCCACCTTAGCCTTTTGACTTATCCACTTGTACGAGTCTTAGTGTTGTGTCAAAATTAATCCTATGCAAATCAGGCTTTGTTAGGTACCATTTTTTAGCTTAGAAAGTATCATGGTGATCCTTAATACTAACGTCTGCCATTATTGGAACTTGGAAGAAGAGAATTAAGATTTCTATCACTTTTTCGCATGTTTTACTACAATCACATCGCAGAGGTTTGGTTTTCCGGAGGTGGTAGTCCCACGGAGAAAATAATGAAGCTTTACAAGAAGTGTAAGAAAAAAAAAGAATTGTGTTGAGGCATATGGTGCATATTGCTGGATAGAGCTTCGGACAATGATCTCACATCAATTCGCTCATTGCCAAACAAGCAGTTTCTTCAAGGTGCTTTTTGTGAGCTTCTTTTCATGACTATGTATGACTGTGTCATAGCGAGATAGAGGGGCCGTGAGCGACAACAAAGGAGATGCATTATGTTGGGTGGTAATGATCATCAAAGACTGGATACAGTATTGTAATGTAAGCAGTAGTTGAGTTGTGGAACGGGTTTAGAGAGAAATTCCTTTTGAACAGATTAGAAAGCTTCAATACGACATACTCAACACCGATAAAGAGGAGCCGAACCAATTGCAAGGTGCAACATATACGAATTAGCGCTTCAAAGAAGATGCTGTCGATCGACTACATTCCTGACGCGCAGATATTGTCGATCCGGCGGCATTGCCGGCGTTCCATGCTTTATACACGTAACAGCTTCTGATAGAAGTGTGAAAGTTGATGCTTCAAAAAGGAGGTTCAACAGCTCAACGTATTCAAATGTCTGCCTCTGGCACATAAAAATGTGCAAGCGACTTGTTTATGTAAATAAATGATATTAATTGAAATAAAGGATTCAATTCTGCTGAAGATTAAAATTAACTCGTAAACAGATATTTTGTGGCTGCCACCACGCCCCTTTTTCTAAGTTTCGAGGTGGCCCGCAAAAATTTGGTGAAGTATTTCAAAAGAATTCTCGAAGTGGCTAATGTGGCATCCTCATCCGAAATTTTTTTGCCACGCCTCCCGAACGGAAATCCTGAATAGGCAATATAACAAGTTGTTAGTCGTAACAACCGAAAAATTTCGTCAGACGAACGAATATTGAACAATCGACCTTTGAGAAATATTCGAACGAACGAATATCATTCGATCTGCGATTTTCAAATTATTCGAATTCGAATATTCGAATAATGCTAAATTTCAGAAATTAAACGAACGAATGTTCGAATTAAATAAAAGGATTGGTCGAATATACGACTATTCGAATAATCGAATAATTAAGCTTTCGAACAATTGTACCTCGTAGAATATTCAAACATTCGAATAATTCGAATAATCTGTGGCTTAAACATCGTTAGAATTTCCCTTTGTTCGAATTTTCGCAGTAAGAGTTAGTCGTTGTAATGACTATACGACCTGTACCCGATAGTTTCATATGTAGTTCCAAAAAACAACATGCCCGATTTACTGAGTGATGAGGATAACCAAATAGTTTCTCGATGAAGCCCAGAAAAGACGATCAAGAAAACATAGTAGGCCATCGGGGATATAAAGAGGTCACACAAAGAGCTAAATGCTGCTCGTACTCACTTCTCTCAAATATGCTTCTAGTGTTGTAGGAATACTTATAGTTGGAAAGACAGCGTAAAATCTAGACAGCTGTTTGCAGCTTCAAGATATAAGCTTTTTAAGAGCTGTCTGAGATCCCTTCCCCGCTGGGGATGTTCTCAGACAGTGACTCGGACAAGCAGCCGGTCTCTACCGGGCGGGTGATCATTCCTCTCGCCGCTTGTCCAGAGGCACGCCGCTCACCCTTTAGAGATATAAAGCGGGCGAGCGGAAAACCTCTAGCAGGCGACCATCATACTTCTCTCCGCTCTCCCGCTAGTGGTACTCAGGGTCAAGCAAGGGGTGTGGCACACGATCGCTGGTTACGACCCCCCCCCTGACTGCTGTCTTAATAAGACTCCCCCCTAAACTATACACTTAAGATAGCATTACTTGAAGGCCCTGTCAAACATAATGGGCAACATATCCATAATTAGCATGTCGAATAACCCCTGTAGATAAAGTGTAAGCGGATTCTGAAGATTCAACATACTAGACCACCTAAGTGAAATGGTCATTTTTCAACATGTTTAACATTGTTTCAAAGGTGAATTAGCTATTCTTTTTTGCACTCAAGACAAAGCACTACTCCTTCTTTGCCCACCTCAGGAATCCCGCTTCAGAAGACCTCCAAACTGTGGAATTAGAAGCCAACCAAAATCTCATTTTTCCCATTTTTCGCTTTTGATCGCTGTGCTTTCACCAAATATTACTCAGAGCTAAGAAAATGAATCAGACTCATATCACTCCTGTGAAAACTAGGTGATCTAGGCTATCGATCCATATAAATACTGTCCGCTAAAAATGCTTTTTTGATATAGTTAATGGCCTGCGGCACCCCCCCCCCCCCTCAAAACCTGCGGCAGCCGCAGGTTTTGAGGGGGGGGGGGGGTGCCGCAGGCCATTAACTATATCAAAAAAGCATTTTTAGCGGACAATATTTATATGAATCAATAGCCTAAACCTCGTAGATTCCATAGGGATGTTTTGATCCTGATTTGTCTTCTTAGCTCTGAGCAATATTTGGTGAAAGCACAGCGATCAAAAGCGAAAAATGGGAAAAATGAGATTTTGGTTGGCTTCTAATTCCACAGTTTGGAGGTCTTCTGAAGCGGGATTCCTGAGGTGGACAAAGAAGGAGTAGTGCTTTGTATTGAGTGCAAGAAGAGGTAGCTTACTTACCGTTAAGATGAAGTTAATCATGTTTTAAATTACTGCTTTATACAAGGTTGTTTACTGCTCGGAGACCTCAGAGTTCGCTGGAACTTGGCGCATAGGGGTTGTTCGACACGCGGATTACGACAATTATGCTTGATTAGAGGTACGGTAGGTTACGGTGGCATACGGTATCTGCAAGTTTGTGTCGTTGAACTTGAATTTTGCAGGATTTCAACAGCGCTTTCATCAAGTCAATTTAGTCACACAGCTTGTACAAGTGCTTTTGACCTTGGGTCGATACGACCCCCCCTACCTACCCCCCCTAACGACCCCCCGCCCCCTGCGGCGTGCCGCACCCCCCGCTTTACCCTGGTAGTACTCCTCTCGTCCGCTCATGCATCAACCGGACGAGCGGAGTGCCTTTAGCGGGCTACCCATCATGCTTCCCGCCTCCGGCCTCTTTTCACAGAACTACAAGGATCCGACTGCCTGCTGCCTACCGCTTCTAGTCTGCAACTTTGGCTACAGACACACTTTCTGATGCCTTCAACGCATTCTAATAGTCAGTTTATTAGGAAGTGTAAGCAATAACACAAAACTCAGAAAAGGACAAGTGATATTCCAGCCACCATATATGGAACAAGATAATTAGTAGTTGATATGGATCTGCTTTTACATGTGGCAGAGGGAGACAGATGTCGCAGGGTTTCAGCTCCAATTTTCATTCGGATAACCCTTTACTTACGATCTGTGCGGATACACATTAAAAATTCGATTCTGAAACATTGTGGTGCACTTGCTTTCAACCCGATCAAACGCAAATCTACTTCTAACTTCGTCCACCTCAGATCTTCACTTTTGGTTACCTCTATAGCTTTGCAGAAGAACCAAACCTCCTTTATCGAAAATTCTCCTAAAAGGTCGGCTTTTTGCATATGCCAGGAATTAGTCGCTTTCACAGTCAAAATTCACTTCTTTGTATCTGCTTCTTTCCTTATTTTCCATTTCTGGCGTGTAATGAATGTGGAGAGAAGTTCTTGTGATTCATCGGCAACTCGGCAACGGCTTAAGCCGTTGCCGATGAATCACATGAACTCACCTCAGTGGCTCCATTTACCTACGTACTAAATGAAACCCTCGGGAAGTTTGGCAAATTAGCTTGCCCCTCGGGAAGTTCCCGTGATTTGTCTGAGTTACCTCAAATCATTTTGGTAGCTCAAATAGCCACCAGACTATGAAAACAGCATTGATAAAATGAAGAACATTGCAATGAGGTAGCTTAAAGATGATGTAAGATAAAGAGTATGATAATGATGGTACGCCGCCCACTCGCTTGAAGGGATGGGCCGCGGTCAAATCAAGGTCCGCCGCTCACAAGCTCAGTAGCGAGGGTACGGCGCTCATTCGCAAGAAAGCTACGCCCACAGATCAAAACTCGCCGCTCGCCCGCAAAGCCATTAAGATCCTCCGCTCGTCCGAGTTATTGTCTGAGTTAATGCAAGCGGCCCTTAGTCCCAGGATTACGAGGAAGCGATGAATCGCAGTGGAGCCCTTGCGAGGTAAGTCACCCAACATAGATTGGAGGAGGCAGCAGGGTTCTCGCAGTGCGATAACTATGGTAGCGAAAACATTAATCTATACCCATTAAGCAATGACCTGGGCTTGACCGGGGAAGCCAGCTAGTTTACGATGTATTTGGAATGGCCAGTATTGCGCGATGAGTTCCAAAGCTATCATTGGGAGAGCAGAAGGAGGCGCACCGCAGTTGAAAGGGTGAACTTCTGCGAAACAGAGCTAATGCACTCTTTGTCTCGATACCGTAATATGTGTGCAGTTAATCTAATAAGGAGGATTATGGAATTGAATATTGGCTGATAATCTGTTTGTTCGATGTTATCAGTCGCTGAGTCTACAGCTTCTGTAGTAATATTAATCAATTTCAAAGAGTGTTTTAGCCTTTTTTGTCAGCTTTTTTTGTAAGGGATCTGCCACATCCTTCACTCATGCTCATCTCAAAATACAGTGTTCACTCTGAACACCTCTGCGACTATCAAGAGTCTTATTTCTTGATAGTTTACAACAATTTACAACTATAGACATGGAATTCAATTTTGCGCTCGTCTGGCTATGAAGACAGCTAAGAATCTTGGCACTTGAAGTATGTGGTGTCGTCCAGCGCCTCAGATCTTTGCGTCCCCCTCAGTCGGGGCTTGCGCCGCGTTGACGGATCTTCTGGGTGTTTAACCACGTAGGCAGCAATTAAAGGTTGGCAAGGCGAATCGGGATCCCAGGATGAAGGAACGAATGTTGCCGATGCTTTGAAAGGTCACTGTTCCTTTCGCACACGCTTCTGCAAGCTGTCTAAAGGATCAGTGAT